CAGTTGTGAGAGCACACTTCAGAGAGATAAGAAATTGCCTCTTGCTTCAAACGTGGGTTTAAGAGGATTACTTATGCTGTTCATTATGAAAGTGAATGGAAGGATCTGCACCTGGACACCTGCTTTCAGACCAGATACAGTGAAGCTCTCATTACTGGTCATGAGTTGAGCTAGGTGAGCAAGGAAAGGATCTAAATACATACTGTTTGTGAATGCAGTGGGTCAGGAGAATGCACATCATCCATTACCACATCTAAGCCAATGAGCAGAAACACAGGAAGCCATTTCAACTTGGAACCATATTCCTTTCTTCTCCCATTAGGAGAAAGTCACACCAAGAAGACTGCAGCTGAAAGGCTGCAAATGCTCTCCAGTGTCTTACAGAACAGGATTATGTTTCAAGATAGCCCTGAAAACTGGGAAAATCTTCTGAAATAACCAGGATGCAATCCAATTGGAACACAAAGGATTTCACCCAGAGGGAAGAACAACAAAGCCTAAGGAATAAATGGTTAGACAGCACTCTGCAAAGAACTATGCCAAGACTACAGCAAATAACAAACTCAGCTCAAGTCAACGCTGTAATGTTGCAAAAGGAAAAAAACTCACCTCAGGATGGGTAACTGGTGTTTGCTGCAAGTGAGAAAGGCTCTCACAATCCACACTGGTGGAGCCTCAGCTAGAAGGGAATCCAGGTCAGGAAACACATGCTCATGTGTAGAGTTTGGAGGGAAGCAAAAGAGCAGGAGAGCAGGGTCAGACACCAGCATGAGTCTTAAAACTAAAGCATGGAGGTAGAACAGCTCTACTGAGTTCCCAACATCTGGTATCTTAGGAATGGCTTAAGAAGGGAAAAGCTAAACGTTCCTTTTCATCCTGTGATTACTCACTAAGGTGAATGGGAATTGCAGGTGAGCAGGAAACCTCGTGAAGGTGCCCTCCTGGAGATGCACCAAAGCGATGCTGAAGAAAGGAAGTGCTACACAGAATGTTTTCTGATCTGTGCAAACCCCCAAAGCTATCTTAGTGACAGAGCACATCGCAGTACAGTTTTGGATGTACACAGAAGTCAGGAAATTAAAAGGGTTGGTTCCCACAGCAACCAGGATGCAGCCTGCCAAGAGAGAAGGAATGTTCCAGCCTAGTCAGAAAGTGCTAATTTTAACACCTACGTAGGGCAGCTTCCACTTCCAGGTGCCTGAAGAGGGCTTCAATGAGGGCAATGCATGTTCTCTACTCTCACCTGCAGGAAAAACCTTGATCCTTAGTTTCCTTGATCTTGAATTATCGGCTCCTGCTTTCAGAACACAGCACAGATTTCAGTTTAGAAATCAAGGTATGACACAGAGAAATCATGGCTGATGTGAAGAGCATCACCTGGAATGCTGTGCTCATGGACCACAGTGCTCACTAACTGTGCCTTCCTGTCCCCCAGCTCCAGGAAGAAATGGTATTCCTATGTAATCAGATACTCAAATTAAAGCACTATGGCTAGAATTAAGCATAACTTAGGTGTCCTTAACTGCGTGGCTCTATCAGAGCAAGGATATTCTGAGCACATTTAAATTTGTATGGAAACAATCTCTGCCTTTAGAACTCTCTCATGAAACATCTTTATTTTCCAGCACTGATCTTTTGCTCATTATTTCTATTGGGAGCTGCAAATACAGTTTTGGGGTGTAGTAGGTTGGGTTTTTTTGGATAATAAAACATCACAAGAAGGATGAATGATTTTATTAAGCCCTGAAAATCCTCCCAGTTTTTGCACACAGATGCCTCCAGCAAAGACTAAGCAGTTTTCCTGAACTTCCAAAAAAAGAAATTCTCCCTGGTGAGAAGAACAATCTTGAGGGCTGAAAGAGTATTTTAAAAAATTACAAAGGTCCTCAAAGGAAAAATGCCCACCCCAACACAGACCCAAATCTGAGAACACTGAAACCTGAAAGCTGATGCCCTATGGGATGATGTAACATCTGCTGATCAAGAGAGGTAGAGACTTCCCTCATCCCAAAAGGCAGCAGAGATGAAAAACTAATAACACCAGAAATGAGAACTTGGCAAAATTATAGAAAAGGAATTTCTGCAGCAGAAACTATTTTAAATGCAATCTCCTGAAGGCAAACAGAAAGCTGTCAAAGTTTAGCAGTAATTCAGATCAGTAATCAATGAGATAGGCAATGAAGGTGGCAAGAAACCTCACAACAGCACGAGAAAGTGTGTGCTAAAGCAGTTTAGTTTTAAGTGGGAAATCCAACACAGCAAAGCCAGTCTGAACCTGTCTAATCTCCGCAGAACTTCCAAGAGTGAATTAAAAACAAAGAAAATAAATGGGTTTTCTGCCACACAATTTAGAGCTACCCATCCCCTCTGAATAAACGAGGAAAAGCCAAACACAGGAGGATAAGATAAGAAAGCCAGAAGTCTCTGGATACTTCAAACATAAAGAGATGCCACTGAAAACTGAAAAATTTTAATTTTTAACTCCTGCTGCTGGTGGCAACGTGTCTGCAGGTGGGTTCGTGTCTGCAGCAGGAATTACATGTAGTACTTAACGAAGATACTAAGATGACTAAATGCTCCCAGCACTTCTGCAAGACGTCTTCTTTCCAAAGCAGAGGAGCTGCAAAGATGATATATAGCATTGAATACAAACATCACCCAGCTGGCATAAAGAGGTGCCATGGAAATACCTGGGCTGGATGCTGGATGTCAGCTCAAGCCAGCTGGAAAGGCCAACCTCCACGCTGCATTTGCTGTAGGGTTGCCACCAACACCTCCATAACCCAGAGAAGCAGCAGGGCAGGCCAGCAATGCTCACTCTCAGTTGGCCGCCTTTTAATCACACGCTCAATAACTCTGCAGATGAGACAATTATTTCTGCATAATTAATGCCTGGAACGAGGCGCAAACAACACATATATGGGCAGCATTAAAAAAGAGCCTAAAGACAAGCTCATTGTATCCTTAAATACGATCCCCAGTTAGTGAGAAAAGGAGAAAACAAACAAGAATTTGTCCCTGCCCATCCACACAGTGAGAGGGAGCTGCCTCCACAGCTCCTCTGTGCTCCTCAGCATCTTGAAGGGAGGGCCCAAAGAATGTCCTCTTAGCACAACAACTCCAGAGGATTTTTTCCCTTCTGTTTTTATTTGATGCTCTATTGGCTGTTTTTTTCTATTTTTTTGTTTGTTTGTTTGTTTCCTTATCCTCCCTTTTGCTGTTCTGACAGATCCCAAGACGCTGTCCTACTTTCAGGCCTCATTAAACTCAAAACTGTGCTCGAGGTCAATGGGAAGTTCATTAAATTCGTGAAGGAGCATGGGATGATTAACAGTTTTACTGAGGTAATGTGAAATGTGTTCCTTTTCTCACCAAAGACAGGCCCAGATCAAACCTTTGCCATCCAAACTTTGCAGCTGTTTTCATATCCAAAGAGCTGAAGAGAGACTACAGATGCAAACACAGATACTGGAACGTGCATCTGTGCTTTGCATCTTAGGCCAGCACTCTTCCCCCAAGTTTACTTTTATTTTCTAAGACTTAAATCTCAATCTTCAGCTCAGAAGGGACTTGAATCTATTTGGTCCAAATCAAACGTTTTTAGTTTGCTGCTGAACACAGCAAAGCAGATCTGCTCTACGTCAGCCCCAGAATAAGGATGTTAATAGCAAAGGTGTTTGAAGAAGCCCACAGGACAGGATGTGACATTAATAGTCCTTTTGTTTTTCTCCTGTTCTAACTTTTCAAATGAGCATTTCAAGCTGTAATAAACACGTAAAAGCTTTCACTATTTTTGTCTGTTTTGTCTTCAAGCTCCTTCAGGAATTTTGACATGCTTACCAGAAAGGAGTTGCAAAGTGCTTAACTAAGAGCTGAAGTTAATGCAAATTCTCGACTCTGGGTATCCTTGGGGTGGAAAAAGAGGAAGGGAAAGAAAGAACAAACCCAAAATCACTGCTCCTGACAGAAGTGAGACCATGTAAGTGCAGCATCTGGGCATATGCAGCCCGTGCAACACAGTTCTCACTTCCCTAATTGGATACTCCAGGCCCCCCAGCAACTGTTAACACAGCTTCCATGCAACTTACAGACACCACAGCCAGATGTAATTAACTCTTCTGGTATCTCTGCAGAAACAAAAGAGACAAATGCCTCATCTGCGGCAACAGAAGGACTTGATAGTCGTGCCACAAGCAGAACCCACAGGTTTCTCCTCCCAAAGCTGTGGTTGAACTGCAATGCAGCCCTTCTTCCTCTACCATCTCCACCAGGGGATCTCCTCAGCCAAGCAGCACTGCTGCTCTTCAAGGTTATGAACACCGTGGGGGACACGTGGAACTATTTCCTCCTTCAGACATCCACTCACACACATCTCAATCTCCCCTAAGCTCATGAGGCTCCTCCAGGAGGTTGCATGTCCTACAACCCACATTAGAGAAGGGCTGGGACACCTGGAGAGCATCACGTCACAATGAGCCTGAGAACAGCACTGCAATTATGCAAGTGGCTCACAAAGAAAAAAAGTACTTTGCTAAAGAGTAGAATTATGCAAGTAACCACATGGCATTAAGAGCCTGAAATATTCATTCACTCATTCAATATTTCATGGAATTCACATCTTGCTCAGCAGTGGAGCAGTGACAGAAGAATTGCTCAGTTTCATCAAGTCCTGATGTGTATAAACTTAAACAAACAGCAGCATTGACAGATTTGGACTGACTTTATGTTTTAATAAACACATAGCTTGGTTTTAACATTACTCCTGGATGTGTTTGCTGCCAGATCTGCACACAGAGATGATGCAGGTTGAGCACTCTGCTTATAGGAAGGAGATTGCCAGCAAAAAGGCAGGAAGCTCCTAGGAGCATCACTACATAAAAATGGAAGAAGAAAGATCAAATCTGTCGCAGACACCTCACTGCATTGCTGAGAAAGGAGTGACATGGACGTGTGACCTTAAAAACAAGATGAGTTCACACTGAAATGGATGCAGAACTCACCAAACATGTTACCAATGTGGCCATTCTTAGTCAGCGGTCGCAGCTCATTCTTTCCCAGTGCATACTGCTTGTAGTTATCCCAAGCGAATTTCATCATCTGCAAAAATAAAAACTGAATTATAGCACTGAACTAAAAGTTTTCAGAACTTCACTTCTGGGAAGGAATGATATTTTCCCAGATGCTGCTAGAACTGGCAGCCGACGGCTCGTTAATTATAACATCCTTAATCCTCACGGAACATTGAATGAATGGGGCTGCATTCAGCACTGTGCTGAGCACTCTCAAACTCAGCTCTCCTGGTGCATTTCTGAAGTACTGCAGTGTTTTAAAAACACCAAGAGCCTGCTTTTACCCTACGCCACGCAAACCAAGCTGGAATTTTGTAAACGTGCCTCAGGCTCTAAATGATCAGTGTGTACTGGAGGAGCACTGGTGTTTTGGAATGGTAATTAAAATGGGCTAAAAATGGAAGGCTGAAACTGATGTACACCTAAATACAGAGATTCTCAGTTCTGAGTTTTCACTTTTCTTTATGATACTGACAACAAAAGTCAGTTGAAGTGTAAACCCACCCAACCCCTGCCCTCCTTACAGCAGTGACATGTACAGCTTTGGCAAAGAGGGACACAACGTGTTCAATACTGAGCAAGCAGAAAAATAAAATGGTCTTTAAGGACTGCAGAGCAGCTTTCCTTCTATTAACAGAGCACCTTCACAAGGAAGAAAGGAGAGATCCAGGGCATTTGGGCATCTCCCTATCAAAACTCAGAAATGTTTTCTTACCAGAGGCCTGCAGATGGGCTGGGTGTTTTCTAAGGACCCCTTCCAACTCAAGCAATTCCTTCTGGGCTCTGTGAGCCATCCTGCCCACGCTCAGCACATGAACCTTCCCTGGAGGACTGCAAGGTTTGTGTGCGTTCCAACACACGCACCAGCACAGCTTTTCCTCTCCTCCTGCCCCTTTGGCTTCATCTCTCGTTGGAAAAAATTAAACCTCTCTTCAGCTAGGAGAGACCAGGATTTGTCAGCTTCTAAGGACTGCTTCAAATAAAGCTCCCTTTTATAACACACAGCCCAGCTCTGAGCAAGTTCAGCCCCAGCATCTCAGTGACCCACGTATTCTTTGATTCAGATAGCAAAGGGAAGAAGGCAGCTTCAGAAAACCAACTACATTCTTCTCCAGCATCACTCAACAAAGTTAAAGAATCTTCCAAAATCCTTCAGGCAAACAGGAAACGTGAGAGAACACAACAGTTTAAAACAAACCTTGGAGTGATGCTGCCCAGCAGCTGTAACAGCATTCACTGCTTTATTTCAGGACCAGAACACACAGGTTACTTTGGTCTGAGGTTCCTATTGTCATTTCAGCTCTTGCTTTTGTCCTTCTCTCTGGCTGTGTGTTCTACAAACCCAACACAGCCTCAGGCACAGCCCTCCCTCATCAGCACACACACAAAACGCCCATCTCCAGGTTTCAGAGCAGAATTCCACCCAGCTGGTCACATGAACTCATGGAAAACATGCACTGATGGACAACACTCAGACTCCCACACTGCCAGGAGAAGGAATGGGGGACAACCAAGTCAGCCTGGGCTCTCACACGGGTGAATCTGTCGCTCACATTCACTGCCCTGAGGAAAAGAAGTAATGATGGGGAAAGGAAGAAAGCCTCCATAAAATGCACTTGAATACACACCAACCATCTGCCTCAGGATATTCATTTCATTTCCTATAGATCTGGTTGTTGGTTTGTTTTTTTTTTCAGTGGCAGCACTATTCTAAATGGGGAGGTTTTTTTCTTTACCATCATAACAGAACCAATCTGTAAGGAAGCCTGGACTCAGCTTCACACTGCAGCTTTCAGGAAAGTTGTTTGGTTTTTTTTCATAGAAATGGCTGATAGGGCTTGCACACGAGAAAGGAAATAGGTGGGCAATCTTTTTGGGTCATTTTTCTTCTAAATCAGAGCTTAGGAAGGACTCACCCTTCCCGCACACGGACAGGATGTGGAAACGACTACTTTGCTGCACAGAACTCCTCAAACTGTAATTCTGAGTCAGCATCATTTTAAGCCAAGTAGGAAATTTCAAGTTATTTCCTTCCCTCGCCAGTTCTAACCCCTTCATTTGAGAAGGTCAGAAGGCTCTTCCACAAGAAGCCCACGCTGCATTTTTCAGGTACAAAAAGTCCCACTATGAAATGGTTCCTTGGGCTGTGCTGGCTGTAGTGCCTTCAACCTTCCTGCCCTGTTCTGTCCCGCACTGCTGATCAGGCACACAGAGATGGATGAGGCTGGATGTGCTGCCTACTCTTACTAAAGGGCTGTCAGTTTTCCTTTCCTCACTGCTTTTTAACCCCATGCATTGGAGAGGCAAGATGCACAACACGGCGCTTTCATTTTCCACGATCCAGCTTTCACTTTGCTAGCAAAGTGATCCAGAAGCAGCAACTGGAAAAGTTAAAAAGCACAAAAGCATCAGTGTCATTCTGCTCCTTCTGCTTTCTGCAGTTGTCTTTCCATTCCAAATGCAGCAGCACGTCTTCCAAACCACCAAAGAGATTCATCACGTTTATAGAAGTGGGGACTTCACGTTTCTAAGCTGTACGGGGGACTGAGATGTGCTTTGCAGGAGTTTTTTTCCTGCCAAGTCTCTAAGCATCAAACTGAAACAGAAGGGGATGGAGCTGAGATGCGCGAGATGGAAAACTGCATGGTACATCCTCATAAACAAGGCATATTTTATGCCTTTCTAATCATGATAGATCACCACACATCAGCATTTAACATGATGCCATTTTAGATGTGAGAAACGGCACCAGAACCACGAAAATCACAGAGTCTGATCCATAATTTTAGGTTCTGTTCTTACCACGCTGCCTGCCATCAAACAGGCAGTAGTCCCAGCTTTTAGCTGATTTATAGCAGAAGCTTCCAGAATCATCAGAGAATGGCTGGGGGTGGAAGAGACCTCCAAAGATCACCTTGTGCCAACCCCCAGCTCCAGGCAGACACCTTCCATTAGGCTGCCCATCCAACCTGGCTCTGCACACTTCCAGAGATGGAGCATCATCAAGTCCCCTGAGCAGCCTGCTCCAGCATCACACCATCCTCACAGAGGGGAGTTTCTTCCCAACATCTAACCTAAATCCACCCTCTTTCAGCTTTTCTTTCCTCCTCTGCAGCTGCAGGAAGGCCAGTTGTCACACCAGCTCCAAAACCAGGATCTGCTTTTTCCTCTTTCCTCCCCATCTCCCTGCCAGCTGCCCCACAGCCCTGCTAAACCCTGCTATACAGTGTCAAACAGATTCCCCAGCTGGGTTAAAAAGATAATTTGACTGATGACAATTGTCAGATTCGTAGAATCCTTAGAGTGGGAAGGGACCTTTAACAGCCATCTAGTTCTCTAGCCATGAGACATCCAAAGCCCCACTAGGTTGCTCAGAGCACATCCAGCCTCGCCTCGAAAGTCTCCAGGGACCACTTTTATCTGCTGTTTTTTCAGTATTACTTCAGAGTTTAAAATATCCACATGAAAACCACGTCAGAACCTTAGAAGGCAGCTACAATTTATCTGCAAATCTGCAACAAAGCTGAGCTACCTCTCACACAGCTGCTTTTACCATCATTCTACCCAGCTTTTCATTAAACACGAGCTAAAACCTCACGTTTCCACTCCCAGAGCCCCAGCCTGAGCACACAACTGCAGCCAGGTGCTCCAGCTCCTCCTAACAGCTTCTACAACACAACTCCAACCCTTCTCCACCGAGGGACATTTATCTGCCTATCATTTCATGTTGGATGGTAAGCAGATATTCTATTTTATTTGCTAAAGCAGGACAAAAGCAAGGCCAGCAGGCTGCTCTGCACTGAAAGAAAGGGAGAACAGCACAGAGTAGCCCAGTGCTGTTACTGTCAGCAACAAGGACAGAAATAGAACTCAAGAGTCTCTTCCTGACGCACAGCTTCTGCTAGGAAAGCTGAATGGGAGAGAGGACAGAAAAACAGAACCAAACTAGCTCCTAATTAAACTCTTAATGCAACTAGATTTAACCATGTCAAGAGGGAAAAAAAAGATAATAATCATTTGATGGGACTATCTCAGGCATTAAGACCCAGCTGGATCCAGCTGCATCTAAATGTGGAAGCATCTCAGCAAGAGCAGCTGATTCTGCAGTTACAGTCCCTTAACGAGGTGCTGGGCTGTAAGAGGATGACAATGGGTTTGAAAACAAATTTGCAAGCCTGGACCAAAGCACAGGGCACTGTACAGAGAGGAGAAAAGCTGCAGTCTCATCTTCTTCACTTCAGAGAATCAAAGTTTATAAGAAAGCCCACCAGAAACAAAAGTGCTCTTGGCCCCTCCAATACCACCAGCTTATTTCCTCCAAGCTTCTACAACAGATCAAACACCTGATATTCCACAAATCAAAGCTGATGCTGTAATAACAAAGGCAAACTTTGTTTACGAGGGTGGATAGTGATAGGACAGGGGGGAATGGTTTTAAGCTGAGACAGGGGAAGTTTAGGTTGGATATGAGGAGGAAGTTTTCCAGCCAGAGGGTGGTGAGGCACTGGAACAGGTTGCCCAAGGAGGCTGTGGATGCCCCATCCCTGCAGGCATTCAAGGCCAGGCTGGATGTGGCTCTGGGCAGCCTGGGCTGCTGGTTGGTGACCCTGCACACAGCAGGGGTTGGAACTGGGTGAGCATTGTGGTCCTTTTCAACCCAGGCCATTCTGTGAAAAATAGCAGTGATGAAGATACCTCTGGCCCTACACTTACGCTGCTGCTCAGACACTTGCTGTCAGGATGTTCAGAGAACTCACATGAGATTGCACTCCGTGATGTACAAGTTGCACCCTGAGGAACCAACTCTCTTAGTTGTGCCCATCTGGAGCACAACCAAATGCTTTCAGAAGAAGAAGATAGCAGAATGCACAGAAATAACAGCAGAAAGCAGGACATCCATTACCAAGAAGGTATTTTAAATTGTGAAAACATACCTACGAGCCACATCACACTGTGCAATGCTTCCCTGTGATGCCAGGCTCAGGAATTACTGCTTGTGCTGCTGTTTCCAAGAGGAAAGGTGCCATA